ATCTCACTCTGGTCCTCCCTTATGGACTTATCCATGACCAACAGCCATTAACCATGTTGAAAGATCAGTTGTGCTGTTGTTTTCTTTATAATCATTAATGCATTATCTACACTTCTATACTACTGATCAGCCAAAGCTCTCCGGGTGGTCCATAGCATAAAACATGCAGAAAAGTTTAAGCCTTAGAACATCTAAAATAAGTTTTAAAAATGATGATATAACTACCAGGACCTGGCTAAAAACATTTCATCATATGTATTCAAATGCCAGAGAGTAAAGTTTTCACTGGGCACTGAAGAGATAACAGTTTTGGCAACAGATGGACCTCATTGGAGAGAGCATTCCCCACTGGGGAGAGGGGGAGGCACCACCAAAGAGGCCCTGTCCCTTGTTGCCATGTTCTGGTATGGAACACAGTGTTCAGGCAGGTTCACGCCAGGAAAGAGGGTCCACCGGTCTCTTCCCACCAACTGTACATCATGGTTATTCCCAGAGAATGTCTGCCCACCTGGGGAGTCTGACCTTGAAATAAGTGGCTCTACAAGAACCAGTCTAGCACACACTCACATAAAGAGGAAAAGGAAAAATAGTACTGTGTGTCACCAGCATAATGATGACAACACACTCTAAAATTCCTGATGGTAGTGGGAAGTTTTTTTCCCCTGCTTTGAAGTAGTTTTTAACTACGGTGACCCGTATGACTCCTTCAGGTGCATTATCTGCAAGGACCTTTTTAGAACTGAACATTTCATCTACAAGGATGCATGTTTGTACATGCTGTATGTATGAAAGACAGTTAATTTCAACATGCTAAGTACATGCCAAATAAAATAATTGCCCCCGGCCTTGGATAACAACTATATAAATATAAATAAATACATGGATGACTTCCTTCGATTCGCCAAATCTTAAAGTTTCCCATGTTAGTGTAGCAGCAACTGCAGTTAATCATCCTGCCACACTTCTCCAAGGTGTGAAGTAGCTTTTGCTACTATCTCTTTGGCACAGTCACTGTTGTAACAGCAGGGTGTGAAATCACTTCTTCTTTTATTAAGGGCCATGTAAGCATATCTCTACTTTATTACTAGCTGGATGCTCCATATCAGAGGCATTCTAATCTCTCTCTAGGGAGTACCGCAGGAGGACAGAAAAAGAACAAATGAGTAAGAATTCCCCAAAATGAACCCATGATTTATAATACTTTTATAGCCTACTGGAATTCCTCAGGGAATAGTGTCACTGCCATAGCTTGTGAAGACAGCATTATATCAAGCACATGCATTAGTCAAGTGTGTTTATATTCAAATTGAAAAATAATTGCTACACCATTTTCCTGGTAAAACTGTGTCATGATTTATAGGCTTTCATTCAGATTTTAAATTCCAAATGTTTATCTGATCAGTAATCATGACTGACAATTTATAGAGATGGAAGTTGCTGCATAGACTGATTTTGTGACCAGCTATCCTACAACTTACTTTAGCTACATGAAAACAATTAATACAGACAATTCTTTGTATCTATCCTAGGTGGTGTCTCTGCACCACTCAGACTCATAGCCTCTTGAGCAAGGCACTCAAATGATATGACAACAAAGATTTTTACCTCTTCTAAGGTCAAACTATATGTGTGTGTTGCCCTGGCCACACACATTGAAGTGATCCCAAGTAATTGGTAGACTAGGTACAGGTTTACTTAAAAGGAGACTTTATTGCTGCAACAAGCAAATCATTAGCTAGCTTGGGAAAGCATTTAGCAGCAAGTCACTTACAACACCCCGCATGGACCCTGCAGCTGGAAGGATGGTCAGTGAAACCCCCTTGAGAATGTTGGTGTCTGAACCCTCCAAAGAGGAAAATGGCCAGCTTATACAGACTACTCATGGGAAGGGCTGTTACACAGGTGCAGTGACTAAGTGCTACATTAGTCTAATGTACTAAGTGCTAAGACCTGTACTTCATTAGCAAGCTGAAATGTATACTATAGGCAGCTCCCCTTCGTTGGACTCCACACCACATGAGGTTTCCCATCCTTGTTAGCATGTCTCAACCCTTAACACATTGGAGGTTTCCCATCCTAGCCAGTCAAGATTCTCATAACTTCAGAGTTTTATTCCCATGGTGTGTTCCAAAATGATAGGAAACAATAGCATAAGATAATTAAACTAAGTATAAAGCAAAGCACAGGCTCATTAGTAGGTTCAATAAGGTACACTCTCTCAAAACAGAGAACAGCTACCTGTTTGTGCTTTGGCCATCATTCTCAGGGTCAGAAAACAACTAAAATTAATTAAGCTAAGCAAGGTTAGTACGTAGCGTGCAGCATTTCACTCATACTAAGCGTGCCTCTACTTTAGGAGCCAGAAACCAAAGTCTGGATTTTATAGCCCAGGCCCAATACCATGAGAGACTAGTTATGTAGCACCAGGCTTAAATACAGAAGCGAGTTATAAATACAGTAAGACTGTATATAAAGAGACTGTAAGATTCACCACACGTCCTCCAAGCCACCAGTAAACTGTGCTGAAATCCAATGGTGATATTTGCTAGACTGAACAGTAGACCAGAGTGCCATGACATAGTCCAACATAAATGCATCATGAAAGGAGTGTGGAATGAGATGTTTTGCTCATTCATGTTTTGCTCTCCACACTTGTGTATATAGGTATGCACAACACTAATCCAACAGAAAAACATGTGGACATCCCTATTTAAAACTCCTCCATAGTTACATTTCTATTGCATCTCCTGTTACAAATGATAATCAGTCGAGGGGATCCTTATCAAATAAAGAGCCTTGCACATTCCAGGTTGCCTCCCACTGAATTGATATTGTAATGGACAGAAAAGGAAACAGAGAGAGGCAGAAATACAAAAACCACCTACAGGACCTGCTCCAGCCAGAGTTTTCATCTCACCCACAAGGCCGTCTATCATTATCTGTCCTGTGTATAGGATCCTTGGAGAGAGAAGGATGCAAGCAGGTGAATACCACTACACAGTCTGTTCCATCTCAACTGTGAGCACTGCCAGGACAAAATGCAAAAGCTTTGCCATTACATGGCTGCTAAAAAGTCTGAAATTATAAGAAAAGCTTTAGACTTAAGAAGGAATTCCTGATCTGATCAGGAATTCATGTTACAAGGCTTGCTTCCCACATACACTTTAGAAATGCTAATGTCCCTGTCCTTTGGGGCACACCTTATGCTAATATCTGCTTTTCCTGAAGGTTCTTCTCTTTGCCTTGTGTTCAATCCTACTGCTTTACCCTAATGTGCCTCTAGCATACTGTGTACTTGATCTCCCTCCTTCCCTCAAAGTTTGTATGCAACTGATAGGTTATAGAAGTATCTTATACATACCCCATTTTGGTAGTCACTTCAGGGGCTGCCTACATGCTGCGTATATTTCCAGTATGTCCAAAAAAACTGCAAATGTTCTTTCAATTCTACATCCCCAGTGGTCTCTCAAATGGTTTTTTTTTTTACTCTTGTCAGCATCAACAGGGCCATCAGTGGCAAGGACCATCACTACTTTTAAAAAAGTGCATTAATTATCTTTAATTAGTAGGAATGCGTGAAGAATCTGGTCGGGATGCAACATGAATTCCTACCTGTCGATGCAGTGCAGGCACTAACTCATTCTGAAACAAGTTAAGCCAGAACGTGGTCTTCCATTTTTATGCAATTTGCATTTTGTTTTTTTAAGCCAAAGCCATCTGAATACATTCCATCAACAACCAGAACTCATGCATACTGTGGCCAGAATTTACATCAATTTCCCTGGCTTTACAAAAATAATGCACAGTCTGCTTTAAAAGCAGAAGTCACATAAAAGTTTTAACTTGGGCAGCTTTTGCTTCTTGACTCTGCAAGATGCTAAAAGTCTACCATACTCAAGCGGATGCATTTCTCATGTCACCCCTCTCTATGTATAAGCTGCACTGGAAGGAACTGTATTGGGAAAGGCATGATAAAAATAAAAAAAATTAAGAAAGCAGTGTCTGCAGCAGTTCATTATCTGAGGTATGGTTCAACCAAAGAAGCTACCCCAACAATTGCAATTACCACATGACAAACAAGGATTAGATCCTAGATGCTGATTATTAGCACTGAGAAACAATGCAGGTTTGACATAGCCATGTTTGATATTCCTCACTTTTCTCAACTGAAAAAGAAAAATAAGTGTACTGTATTGAAATAATAATATTTGAAATATTTATGACTATCTTGACATTTTAAGTTACAAAACAACATTGCAGTAAAAGTACCAAACTATTTACATTAAAGTGAAATGAAATAACCTTTGAAAGCAATTTATTATAACAATGTACAGAAATGCCTTAAGGTAAGTATTAAAAATGCAATCATTTAAAAGTCAACCAGCGTCTATGCACTTTCAGTCATTTAAAAAGTAATTTCTAATTTCTTTTTTATATTAATTTTTACAAAAGAAATAAAACAATGATCAAACACATCAGTATATAAAACTTACCTTCTCCATCATGATTGTTCATTTGATAATAATAAGGCATGCTAAAAAGCATGCACTCCTTTACCTTCGTACTGCTTTTCTCTTGAAAACTGTCTCCTCCCATGGGGGTGGACATTCACTGATAGATTTAATTTAGCAAGGAAGAGAAGCAGAGTGGCTCAAAGAAACACGGACAAGCAAATGAATGATAACAACAGCTAAGAGAAATGCTTTTTGGAAAAAGTTTGGGGCATATATTTCAAACAGTATCATTAGAAAATCTTTTTGGTTACAGTTCTGCAAGACTGGCCACTAGGTTTAGTTTTCTGACAACTTTTTATCTGAAGTAACAGGAATGTGAAAAAGGAACATGAGCAGTATCACACCAGAGCCACTTGCTGAAACATGTATGCATACATTTCGATTGACACATCACTGCAGCTGAAATTCTATCACAGAAATGTCACGATATTCAAAAACAATTTGATTAATATTCACAATTTATTATAGTTTAGTAATTCTTCTTACCATAGTGAGGAATGATTGCCCAAGCCATGGCAGAGGCATAGATGCCGCCAATCATCCAAAACATGCAAAGCCAACTCAAATGTTCTCCACGTTTTTCTCGAGCAAGTACTTCAGCAAAATAGGAGAATACAACTGGAACAGCTCCTCCAATCCTAGTCAAATACGGGGTATAAATTAATTAACACAGAAACACAAACTATGATCAAGAATAGATTCCATGAACCTGGGGGCAGAGGTTCAGGACAGATAAAAGGAAGTGCTTCCTCACATAGTACACAGTTAAACCATGGAATCCCTTGTCACAGCAGTGATGGCCATAAGGTTTCAAATTTCACTGATGGCAATTTCCCATCCAAACCAACATAAATGGATTCTTCAATTAATGTTTCAGATCAACCAAATCAGTTCCTCTTCTCTTTCCCCGCTTCATCTCTGAAAGCCCTATTTTACAGCCAAAATCTAGTATATATTTTAACCTTCAATATTTAATGCAATTTTCTTTTCCATTTAAATCAGTACTGAATTATTTTTGCATACTGAATTTAATACAGGATGCAATAATTAACTAGTTAGTATTATGTTTTCTTGTAATGAGGAAGCTTTCCAAAAAGACAATGTTCAGAAACATATAGGATACTGGGGAGGTGTGCCAATACACCAGAATTTGGACTAAGTAGACAAGATGCCTGCTTTGTGAAAACAACTTAACAGTTACCAATCAGAAATAGGGATATAGAAATGCATTCTTCTTTAAATGCATGGAACACCACTGCTGTCATTGTTGGGGTGAAGATTCATATAACAACATGATTTTAGGAAGCAAGTTGTATTAACTAGAGAGAACCTGCAGCATATGTTCAGAGGCAGCATATATTTGATTACCAGATGTTGGAAACAAATGGAGAGGACTGGTCCATCCATGTACTCCTTGTAAGTTTAAGAAAAAGCACTATAGCCATGGATTGCTGGACTATAAATCTCTTGTCATCTTCTTAACTACTCACACATATGCTGCCATCAATGCACTTGGCTACCCATGTTAGAAATCCTCACCCAAGTTCTTGTGTACCATAAAAACAGGAATTGGAAAACACTCTGGCAAACAGTTTGCAATGTTTTATGTCTTCCAAACTACTTCTCAGCAGTTTCCTTTACATTGGAATTGGGGAGAAATTTATTCATATTCGTATTAGTTCTGAACTACTAAAGAAAAAAACCCAACATGCTGGTATTATTCAGTATTTGTAATTCTCTCATCATTGTGATTACATTCTCTACTGAAAAAATACCTACAAAATTGTGTATATTACAGAATAGTCTGTACAACAATGTATATATTAGTAAAAAATAACATCTGAAATTACCTTATATTATGGACAACTGCTTGCAGAAAATGTGCATATTAGGCAAAATTGTGTTAAAATGTAGATGAGAAGAAATGTGCATGTCAAAGCATAGGAATTTTTTAAAAATTGCAAACAAAATGCAAAGACAGGCTGAACTTAAGACTGGAAATGAATTTCTGACTCAAAGATGGGAAACAAACGCAGCATGGAAAAAATTAGAAACTGAAATTGGCAGGTTCATCAATCTCCACTCAAATGGCAGAATGATTGCCTTTTTCTGTTCCCTCCTTTCCTGGCTCAGCTCATCAAATCAACCCAGTTTACTGCTCTTTCTGCCAATTTCCACAGGGCAGGGAGCACTGATATGCACACAAAACAGTACAGATAAAAATCTTTCTTAATAAGAAGCTTTCTTGCCTTCTTTTACATCTCAGTCTATTCTCTATTTAACACAAATACTTGTCATACACCAGTATTTAAATCCCTCATCTTCTTTATCAAAAGGGGGCTTTTATAATTTCATGACTGATTTTGATCTGATGAACAGTGTAAGCCTGGAATATTAGAGTATTTCTTCATATACATAATATTAGTTTCCTCACCATTCGCAACTCTGCTCCAAGGCACAACTTGTATTTGTATATTATAGGAGGTAAATTATCTTGTTTGAAAGCAGCTGCCCATCTCAAGGTAATACTTTTGCTGAAATTATAACAACCATGCCAGGATTGCTGTAATCATCCCTGAGAAACTTATTTCCTACATTATAATGTTTTCAGATATAAAATTTTCAAATACGTTGCTATTAGTTTTTCTTGAAAATCTTCAAGCTATTGACTGTATCAGTATGTCATCCTGAAGGAATAAAAATAGCAATTTTTGCCTAGAAAATTTTTGTGCGGGTTAGGTACTTCATATTAGAAGGGTTCATATGGTAGGAAAAGGAATTTTGTAGAATAGAGACATAGATTGTGCTCCAGTTAGAAGGAAGGCTCCAGTATTTGAGATTGAGATGCCCTGTCAGGCTGTTCTTGGGATGGGTGAAGGCACAATGGAAGCAATATTTATTTTCTAGAAAGGCTTCTAAACCTATCTAGAGGTGCTCCTGACATGGAGGTGGGCCTGGAGTGGCCAAAGGTTTTAATGGCTTCTCCCATCTTCTCCCTACAAGAATCACCCTCTTTTCCTCTCCTTGAAGTTACCTGTGACTTCAGGAAGCAGCTGCCAGTTATTTCTGCAGTGGGTATGACATGGTGGAGAGGTTATTGGTTATAGACCCATCTGAAAAAATAATGAGGTTATAGACCCCCCTGAAAAAAAATTATGGTTACTGGAACCAAAAGTATTGCTCTGCCAACTTCAGGAATTCAAAGACTTCTGGATAATTTGTGCAATGTATCAGTGAAGAATACTTGGCTATTTACAAAATGAGAAAAAGTATAAAACATAAATGAGACATCAAAGGATAAAATATGCTAGTTAGATAAGGAAAGAAGGGACACAGAAACATTAAAGGATATTGTTAATTGGAACAACTTCTCAAAGGAAAAGTTTGAATCAGTTGTAAAGTGGTAGACACAAATTAGGACTGAAGTTACTAGCAAGATGCAAAATAATGTGGCTTTTTCAAGGCAGAGGATACTGGCAGCACAATGTTATATATCTCTACTTTGAGGAAAACACCTCCTAATTCAACAGGACTTACTACCAGGTAAGTGCATAAAGGGTTGCAGTCTGAAAACAGTCATTAGATGAACACAAATAATGAATTAAAGATATATTACAATGCTAAATTGAGACATAATAATGTATTATGCTTCTAAAACTGAAACTGACACATCCATCCATCTCTACTCTCCACTCTTGCAATATTAAATTCTTGCAATCATAAAATACAGAACTATTCAAAATGATAAAAAAATTATAGCAGGGGAGACAAAGTTCAATTAAATTGAGATCTCTCCAGGAGGAGGGCCTGATCACTCTAAGACAAACAAGGTCTTGACAGGAATATCTTAAGGAAATTTGGCAGCTATGTTAACTCAGAAGTATAAAAAAGCTCTAGCAGCAATTTAAAGCTCAGCAATTTGGAATGAAGCTGATATAACTGTTATATCAAAAGACAGAGCAGATTTAAGATGTATGATTTTTGTACAGGCCCATTTAGCCAATAATAACAAAAATGACAACAGTCTTGCCTATTCGTTTAAAAACAAGCTTAATTTAATGTCATTTAATGAAAGAGGATGTGGCAGGGCTTACCTGAGAAAAACTGATGAACAAGATAATTTAATTAACATATTCATTTATATTGAACGCTTAAAGAGTGGTAGCCTTTTTAAATGCCTCACAAGCATTTGACTCTATGGAATGAATTCTTCATAAGATGACCTTGAAAATGTTTGATGTAGGTAATATACTTAGTAAATGAACCTATTCATTTTCAAAAATACTTAAGCTCAACTGGATAAGGATATAAAACAAGTCCAATGAAAGAAACAGCATTTATTAAAACAGTTAAACCTGATGACAGACAAACAGCAGACAAAATTAGAAAGGATATCTAAATTGCTGATGAGCAATAGTAAAGTATGGCACTTTTTTTGACTGAAGCAGCAGGGTGTTTAAAGAAAGAGTAGGAAATACATGGGAGTCCACATGTAATTGTAAATGAACTCCCATTATCCTCAGTCAGCACAGCCAATGTCTGAAGATGATGGTACGTAGTAACAGTCTAGCAAGAGCTAAATGCCCTGAGGTTCCCTATCTCTGCTTTAAAAAAAGTATCAAGCAACTTATAATAGTAAGAATAAGCGATCAAATTATAAATGGGAACTATTAGGACTTATTTACAATGATTAGGACTTAGTTTGAATAGAAAATCTATTCCATTTGGTTCTAGCATGAGGCAAGAAATTGCAGTTAAAATTTGTGCTAAACTGCCTGTGGATCTAAAAAAGTGATTTAACATAATGCTCTAGTAATAAAATAAATATTAATAATTTGAGCAAAGTAAATTTAGGATGGATGAGAGGGATAAAGTGTTAGAAAAATTGTCTTAAGCTGCTTTTCCAGTTCCTTATTTTATGTATTATTTATACTGGGTAAGATTTAAAATGCCTGGAGGAATGTTGTCCATGGGGTTGTGATGGGTCGGGCATGACTTTGTGATTAACAGCAACTAAGACTTAAAATACTGGAATAGTATGTGCACTGATCACATTGAGTTATGGAAGTGGATCTATAATATCTAGAAAACTTGTAGAAAACTGGGGAGGAATCACTAAGGAGGTGGGAATTTAGCACAACCACAAAAAATAAACATGTTGTGAGTCTCAATGCTTTTCTGTGCACTCATTTTGTGTATACTTTCTTCCTGGGAGCACTCTGGACCACAATTGAACCCCTCACCTTCATTCTGATAGGCTTTCCAAGAGACAGTAACCCATGTGTGGGTGTGCTGCCCCCCTTTTAAACTTTTTGAATGGATCAAAAGAAGACAGGGTCCCCTTTCTTCCACTATCCCTTCCTTAGTTGGATTCATCCTGAGCTACAACACACCACAGGGACATGACGAAATTAGACTGAAAAACTCCACCTAGCAAACCTGTAGCCCAGTCACAGTATCTTGGAATTAGGTCTTCTGAAGGCAGGATGGAAGCAACCATTCATGAGCTGTCCCCTAGGTAGGGAAATATACATTAAGTTAAATGAAAAATGAAAGGAAGCAAGGAAGAGCTTACCCAAATCCAGAAAGTAATCGACAGAAGAGAAAGAAGCCATAGCCCTGGACAAAGGATGAAAGGAAGGCAAAGAATCCATTGACAGACATACATATCAGAAGAGACTGTCTCCTTCCTGCCTTGTCTGCCAGGCCTCCCCAGAAGAATGCCCCCACCATCATCCCAAGGTATACTATGCTACCTGCAACACACAAAAAATAATGTTACAGTATTATGGACCACACAGTCCCAATATCAGATCCTAATGTATTATTTCTCCAACAATTTACTTGTAGAGTAGGAGAAATACAGGTGGATAATTTGCATATAACTGGGCATACAACAGAACTGTTGCAAAGATTGACTACTGAGCAGCATAGAAATGAAATAAAATTAAAAATAATACAATTTTACCGAGGAAGCAAAACTTTCCTCATACATACATATTTCATGTTCAACTTACTGAAGATTTAATATTCATGAAGTCAGATACATATAGTGGCATAAAAACAAATATGGAATTGAGAAAAATTTCCACATCGAAACACTGAACACATGACTAATATTTCTACTACTCCACTACTAGCAGTATAAATATATCTCAGCAGAACTGCTTTTTCTCCAGTTGTAGTTTTATCTCTTTTAAAAACATGCGTACGAAACTATTTGCAACGGCCTTGGCGGCACACATTTCGTGAGTCTTCCTCACTGCTCCATCATCAAGTAGGATTTACAAGACAAGGGACCATCTTTATGTTATTTAAGTATCATTATAATAGTATTATAACTGCAATGAATTGTCTGGTAGTCTTATTGTTGATAGGAAAAGTTGACTGGGTTTTTCAGTATGAGTAATTACTCATTACTCATCAATGGTATAGGTGGCATTGTAACTGTGGTCCAGTATAGCTCTAAGCAATGGTTCTTTATAAGTTTAATCATAAAGGGGTTTTTTTGTAGTTTTGCTTCCAATAGCTTTCTGTTTAGAGCAGCTGCAACATGAATTATACACTGCCACCTACTAAGTCAGTTCCTAATCCTGGTGGAAGGAAGGGAAGTCTCAAAGTTCTGGTTTCCTTTGTTTCTTCCTTTCTTAAAGATAGCACTATTTCATAATAAAAACAAAAAGACAATACTGAGAGGAAACCAGTAATTAAAGGTCTCTTCTGAAGAAAAGGAACAGATTAATTTAGTACATACATGTTGCTGTATAAGTAAACAGATAGTGTAATTCAGAAATATTTTTCTTCAGCTTAATACTGTTATTATTCCATGTATTTATTTCTTAAGTGCAACCCTGTTCACACATTCTTTCCTGCATAGCCTAATACACGTCTGACAGAAGTGGACTGCACCTGGCTCTACATCCTATAATAGCCCCAGACATTCATGGGGTAGGTTACTTACCTGTCAGGGACACCTAAGCATGAGCAGCTCCTTACATGTAGATATTCCATGTAATCAGCACTTGTAATCACACAAGGCTCTTGAATGACTCACATGTAGGAAATCTGTGCTTAACACATGGATATCAGAGGAGAGCAGGTGACCCTGAGGTCAGAAGTCAAGGGATGGAGCTGCTGTGCCCTTTATGTAAAGCACAGGCAACAAGATTGCACTTTGGAAGCATCACAGCTGCCCTCCACATGTTAGCCCTCTGAGTGGAGGAACACATGAATAGGAAAGCTGCAGTGCCTCACAATGGAGAAACTAGATAGGGTGGGCATTGCAGAAACCTGATAGAATGGAGAGAAGCACTGAGCCATCTCTGGACATAAGTGTATAGGAAGGACAGGGAAAGGCATACAGGAGGAGATGCTGCTCTATATGTCAAAGAGGGTATGGGATCCAAAGATCTCAAAAACCTAAAAGGCACACACTTCCCCACAGAAATACTGTGGGTGATAATACATGGTTCCAAAACTAATTTAGCACTAGTAACATGGGATCATCCTCCAAAGCAGAACACTCACATCGATCTTCAGATGGAAAATGAAAATTCAGAGTGTGAGGAAGTGTTATAACAAAGAATGACTTCAAGTTCCCCCATATTAACTGGGTAAATGCATATTCCAGTTCTGACAAAGCAGTTCCTTCCCTCAGTGTCCTACATGAATGTGTCATGGAATCACCTGATGATGAACCTGATCACAGAGAATGCATTCCTGGATTTAATCCTAGGTGGGGTTTTCCAGGCCCTGACAGGAGAGACAAATGTTACTGAATATATTGAAAACAGTGACCACAGTGCTATCAGATTTAATATATATTTAAATAGAAAATGCTAAAGAGGTCTAATGAAGTCATAAAAAGGAAGTGAAGGAAGGAGTCAAGAGGATTAAATCCTTCCAAAATACTTGGAAATTACTCAAAGCCACAATAATAGAAGCTTGGTTAGGATGTATATCATAAATAAGGAAAGGTAGCACCAAGTCCAAGAGCTCACAAGCACAATCTCTTTTTATGTTCTTTGTTAATGATACAAGAAAAAAAATCACCCTTATCAACAGTATTATTTTCATTATCAGTTTTATCAGTACAGTTTTATGATGTGATCTTTTAACTTGCTTTTAGTAATGAAGATTATTTGGTAAAAAGAACAAACAGATCAAGAGATAATAGGCTTTCTGCATGCTGGGAAATTTGGTAGCTGCAGAAAAGTGACACACAGAGTGTTCTCAGTGGAGGTATCCTGCATGCTCACAGCTGTTTGCTCTGATAACAGCACATATTGAAGAACATAGCAAAGTGAGAACTGCTTCTGCTTGAGGAATATTTTAATTCCAATGAATATAGCTTGAAACGGATGTGTGTGTGGTCTCTCTCTCTCTCTCTCTCATATGCAGAGAGAGAGAGAATTATATACAGACATTGACACATAAGCAGAAATAATTAAGTTAAATCAAATGAAAATTAAGAAATGCTTAAAACAGATTCGTATTGTCCTCTATTAAAAGCTAGACCTCAGCCAATTCTAGCAATTCTGTAAAGGCAAATATATAAACAAGAAAGCTGAAAGCAAAGCTACATGCTATGTTCTAGAATAATGCACTGGTATTTTTTTTCCAAAATGAATTTTTATTAGCATATAAAGAGTCCTGAAATGATTGAGGACAGTGGTAAATGCACAGCACTTAATGCATTTACTTATAAGTCTAATTTATTTTAAGGAAATTTGCTTGATCCTATCTAGATGTCCAGCATCAAATTATGTTTTCTTGATTTTCTAATTCTAGAAAAAAAGAACTCTAGCACTCTGATATATTAGTCTGATCCCATCAACTTCTGCTATGCTCTGGAAAACCAGGAGTGCTGGTCTTCACCTTCTAAGGACTAATAGCATCCCTTGCATAGGTTTAAAGAGTGAACCTATTCAACTGCATTGCAATGGATAGGGGGTGGGGATGGCAAACTTTCTCTTATAGGTAGATGGTGATTTCGTTAGGCCTCTCTCAAATCACTGATAAACTACCACCACTGGATGACCCATTCCTGAACATTCTGCACTGTCCAGTGGCTTCAGGAATCCTAAATCCTATTACCAAGAATGCCTTGAATCAGCCCGGCTTTACAATTACTACTTCTTTTTAAAAGAGAGAGATTAACTGTTGTTTTTAAATCAATCAATCCATCAATCACGGTTAAAACAATTTCAGCAAGCATAACAAATAGGCTATGTTACAACTGTTTCTGAATTGTTACTGTTACCCACACCATGTTCCATCTTTTAAAAACCTATTAAAGCATCACAGTTCATGGCTACATCTGGGTTAATTTTTAGCTAGCTAGGTAAAAAAATAATCACTTTCATTTCTATAGCACCCAACTGCCAAAACTAACCAGGTGGTTCACAATTACAGGGCTTAGACACTGCTTCAGCCATCATATGCTCCTAGAAGAATGTTCATAGTTTAAAATCCAAAATCTGCAATTTTGGCAGCTAAATTGTATTAGGACCAACCAGATGCCACTCTAAGGCTTCATTAGGCTAGATCGCAACAGTTCTTAAATGTACAAAGTTTTTCTTATGACCAACTTGAATGGAAACAGCTCAGGGAGTGGAAAAGCAAAAGGAAGCTTGTCTCTCCACTGAGCCAGCAAAATGGTTCCTGTTTCTCATCTCTCCTCTCCAGCAGCAAGGAGAAAAGACATCCTGTGTGTTATTATTATGGTCTAGATGCAGTCATTACATTAGCGATCCGTGAACTCAATAATCAAGTACAAAGAACATCTTTGACATGAGAAAACGGTGTTGCAGTTAAAAAGCAGATACTGCAAGTATAAAGCGTAATTCTTCAGAACTGCAAATGTGTTGGAAGCCATATTTGCACCTGTCTAGCAAGAAGAAAGAAGAAATGTGAAAGGATTCAGAGGATAAAGAACACAAATTCTGAAAAATCGAACAGAAAGACAATCTGCCACTGAAATGGGTAGATTTGTGCTCCTATTTTAGAAATAAGGTTATAAAGGATTCATATTGTACAAGAAGTAGAAGGGAAATGTTTACAAGAGCTGAGAAAAATTTACAAGAACTAAGCAGGGCTGTCAAGGGCAGGACATTTTGAAGGGCATCTATTCCTTGGGTTGCTATAAGTCAGAGACAATTTGATGGCACATAACAGCTTAACTACAAAGAAGAGAGAGAAAGGCAGAAATGGACCATAAGTCCTTTAGATGAACATGTCATGAGGATACACATGGCCTTCAAGGAAAATTAATTTGAGCAATTTAAATTGTTATTTTGAAAGCCCATGATGATAGTAAGACTCAATAAAGCAGTTTTAGAGGAACTGGGGGAGGGGATAGTATCAATTTACATTTCTTCACAGGAAATATTCACAAAAGATCTACTGAAATTTCAGAGTTGACTTGTAGTCATATCTGTCCATCCCCAAACATTTTAGAAATTGTGATCTTTGGAAATTGTGGCTTGCACAGAATTTAGCATGAACAAACCTAATCTAATGAGTGCACTAATGTTTTGCTTTATGTATAGTGTTCAACTCCAAAGGAAGTTAATGCACTGATACCAAACAGATTTTAAAATAAGAGGTATTTTAACCCTACATTATGAATACATTCTAATAGAACCAGCTGCCTCTTAGCAGGGCAAGAGAAGAAACAATGCAATGATTAAAGCACCAATAAATCATGCCACACTACTATGCTATACTTCTGTTGCTTGAATGTCCAAATTAACTA